ACAAGAGACCGCATGTTTTGCAGGGGATGATTACAGTTGTTCACTAGCAATAAGGGTCTAGGGGAAGCAACCATGAGCTTATAGCAGAACGAAATGCAGAGGATATAAGGCTTACTGAGCTGATTAACTAGAAATAATATATTGCTTGAATTCTATCAGCAACAATTTATTACTGTTAGTGGAGAAATTAAGATAGTTCTGTTTAGCTGGAAGCAGTTCTGTTCTGATGTAAGCCTTACGTCCTTAGCAGCAAAAGGGTTAAATTAGCTCAGGATTGCATTTAAATACAGTATATATTAATTGCTTGAAATATCCATTTTTATTTTATATATTTATTGTTTGTATAGTTCTGCATTAGATATGTTTTCCAGTACTCTCATTTCAGCTATACACATGGTTGAACTTTGTTGTGTTCTACCACACTGCAAATACCAAAGGTTTGGAATTTTTCAGCTGAGCTGTATGAATTTCAGAACTTAAATTACAAATCGTAAGATGCTTATTTGTTGCATTTACAAGTTATCTTAAAAAGTAGTAAACAATTAGTTTTTAATTTCCCTATGAACTAGAAATGTACTCATACCATTTTTTCAAGCACAAGTACTGATACTTGTCCAAGTATTCACAGTTACAAGTACTGATACATTTTTGTTTATTGTCATGTGACAGTTTTTCTAAAATAATACAGACTAATGATTTCAGGACAGTGATGGAGTGCCAGAGCCAAGTCCAAGTTGCAACCGCTGCAACCCTGGTAGTTCTCATGAAAATGTCAAGTATCGGCACTGGTATCTGAACTGGTATCTGAACATCCCTAGTATGAACTCTTGATTATAAGACAAAGCAAAGAATATTTGAAAACCTAACTAGGCTATAAAGTGTTGCTTTAACAGCTGCATACAGAAAAAAAGTAATGTGAAGAAAATTAACATGTAACCTGTATGTTTAAACAAACATTAGAAAATCAGGAAAACCACATATGAATTCTAAAAAGTTACTAATTTACCACTGTAGTGTATGGTAATTTACCACAGAGAATGTATGGTACAATAATATACATATAATGATATTAACATTTCCAATAAAATGTGCAACTAATGTAAACAGAATATTATAGCTTGACTTTAGTTCAACACAATTCTATACAAAATGTTCTTATCATGGTCAAGTCTAAACAAAAAAAATATGTGCTCTTTTTTATATCTTGTATTTTCAGCCAGTAGATAGAGGTAGAGGTTAGAAGCAGGTAGAAGCTTTTGGACAGCCAGCCCCCATATAACCCTTCCTTTATAATGCCTCCATTTTGTTAAATCTGAAAAATCAAGTGCAAATTAAACAATGGAAGTCAGCAAATGGCTGGTTGGTGTGCTTTATCCCCAGCTGAACATTCTTCTTTATTAGCGTAAAATGCTTGTACACAGAAATTGTATTTATTAATTTTATGCAAAACTCATTGACTTTGTAGAAGTACAGTAACCCACAAAAACAAGATTGTACTTTGCTGTAGTAATTTGAGGAAGTGCCACTCCACTATGCATTACCTAGTGAAATAAGTCTGCAATTATAAAATTAAGTTCAACCAAAATATATATTTTATTTATTATGTGGAAAAAGTGAGACCCTTTTGATGTTTTGGATATTTTGGATACTCCATCAGTGAGATTAACCCCAGCAGAAAAGCAGGAAGTTGCACACCGATGACATCAGATCACATCCAACTTTATTAAACAAGGACATAGCGCTCTGCAGCACCCCACCTAAGACTGCCCCTCTCTAATGTTTCACCCAATACAGGCTCGATCACAGAGTGGGACCGCTCTCATACAGATAGATGTAAAAAGCTGTCAAACGGTTTAACTCTCCAGCACCTATGAAAAACTAAATTAGGCATATTGTTTAACCCTCCAAAGTAAACTTGTGCTGATTGTGGTTTTGAATGCAAATAAAAGTGTGCACAATGCTATTTACAGCTAATTAAATGAGGGGGTGGAATGGTCTACTGATTTAATATGTATTCATTTAAATATTGCATAATAATGCTTTGAATATCTCTTTTAGATGCCACTCCTACTTATACAAAGAAGGTGTCGCTGACCTTGCAGATATAGGAGTTAAGAAATGACAATTGAATGAAAACAAATGGATGATAGCTACTCTAGCAAGGACAAATAGTAGCAATGGAAATATTATCAAAAAAGATTTGTTTTGTAAATATCTAGGTTAACAAAATGTTGAAACTATTATGTAAAATCATAAGGCAACTTTAATGCATTGTGCCCTTTTATCTGACACATTGTTCTTAGAGTACAACTTCTTAATATGTTATAAACTAATATTTATTTTTATAGACAGAAACAGTAAAAATTATATGAAACCTTTATGAATAGTTCATGGTTTCGTAAGCCATTAAAGGGACTGATCAGCCTGTAAGTTTTGACGACCTTCCAAAGAGTAGATTTTCTGATTCTTAGAAGAAGGACATAATTATTCCTAACCCTTGTAATGAAGCTACACCCAAACTGCTAGGGTTAATGTGCAATTAAACTCTCTGGTTTTTTTGCATATATCTATTGCTAGCAAGCAGTAGATCTATGCAAAAAATAAAAAATTATAAAAAAGTTACTAAAAAGGTAATTACTTACCTGTGTCTCCGCAGCTCGCTCCCGTCGGAAGATCTGAGGTTCCTAGAGCAGCCGTGCAGGATGATGGGGCGGGCGCATACACAGTAGAGATCTTTGGCAGGGAGAAGAGGAGGCTCACAGTGGAGGTGAACAGACGCAGTCGGGAGCGTGCACGTCGGACAGACACCGTGGGACACCAGCGCTGGAGGGATTGCTGAATACAAGTGAAAAGTAGAAGATGATTGGATCAAGAGGCATAATTTAAGGTAAGGCCTTAAAGCAACATGGGGAAGAAAATATTTGTGACTTTAATGTTACTTTAAGTGCTCATTTTCATCTAAGGACCAAAATAAAAAAAGTTATAATCTCCTGAACCTCCCAACTAGTTGACTGGTAGACCGATCCCTGCCCCCTTACTCCCCCTCCACTCCAGCGGTCTAAGGTCTGTAAGTCATCACGTCCTATAAAATGTATATAATGTGAGGACACTGAGTGACATTCTATCGCTACAGCAGAGGAGGAGACAGTTGTTGACAGTGCTCCTTTAAAAAGTATATAATCTGTATGCTGGCCATATACTAAGCAATAGTGTGACAATTTCACCCAGTTTAAATTGCAAAAATATCACATCTCTCAAAGCTGTGAAATGAGTGTTGGTGATGGGTTGCCTTGTTCCGTTGGCATTAATGTACTAAAGGCAAATAGGCTGTTCACTTTGCAAAGGACATTTCCCTGAATGTTGTGAAGCATGCACATGCAAAAATACCGGTTATATTTTCTTTGCACATGATTGAGTATTCTTTTCGAAGTGAATCTTCACCAGATTCACTAAGGTAAGGGAATGTCCTTGCAAAGTGAACAGCCTATTTGCCTTCAGTAAATCAACCCCCATTCAATCATTTGCACTTGAAATCTGTGAGAATGTGGTTTTAGTGCTACAAAATTGCCTGGTGCATGGCCATTTTCATGTAGAGGTGTACACAGGACCAGATTCCATCACTAGAGCCTCAAGAAACAAAATTGGAGACAGAAGTGCCACTACCTAGCGCAATGACTGTGGTGGGAACAAGGTTGGTGTTAAAGTAATTCACTCACTTGTGGCTCGGTGAGTGCTTGCTTTGATGAATCGAAGTGGAGTGGAGCGATGGTGTGGAGTGGTGGGATCGGATGCTTTTTTGCTGGGTGGTGTTGTGACGAACCCGGGTGGAGCAGATGGAAACACAAGGGTAGAAAACCAAGGAGGTGAGGTAGAAGGGTGAGCAAGGGAGGAATGAATTTCTGAAACTCACCGTTGAGTAAGTGGAGGCAGGAAGTCAACGACGAAGGTGCAGTCAACGTTGTGCCCAGATGGTCGAGGGGTGATCCTCTGGCTGGTGGCTGCTAACACAGGAGTCCTGGCGGATGGTTCTGGTGACAGAAGCTGGAGGTTGTAGGGCGGACGTCCCTGGT